TGGAGTTAGAGATGAGGTGCATGGCTATCGGGGCAGCTAGTAAGGAGGAGGGAGCTGGGAGTCACAACTGAGAGCCCTGAGGACAAGGACATGTGGTCAAGCTTGTGTTGTACAGGGACATGTGGTCAAGCTTTAAATGCAAGTGTTTTTACAGAAACTTCTGCTATTTAGTCAGCGTTCTCATTACAAAGCAAACCTATTCTTATGCTAAGGAAATTGCTGGGGTATGATTGTTGTTAACATTAGTATATGAGCACTCAGCACACTGGTAATGTACTCTGTAATTTTCCATTCTCAGGGAGAAAAGCCAAATTGGTACTATAGACAACTTCACAGGAAGTTAGTTTTGCAATTTAAATATCCTTATTGAAAGCAAATAAACAAAAAAGCCGTAAGTGAGTATGTAGTGATCAGGAATTTCTCAACATTGTTTGGCTTGTTAGATTAATGGGCTAAACCTGTTAATGTCCTGCTAGGGCAACTGTGTCTTTTCCCAGAGAGCCAGTATGGTTTCTGTACAGGTAGTCAAAGTTTTGCTGGTTTCCCTGGCTGGGTAGTCAGGCTGGTAAGGAAATGGAAATACCTACTGTTCTCAGGGAGGACTGGGAATTACAGCTCTGCAGTCGTGGACATTTGAGAAATTCCAAGAAGGAATTTGAACCTGAGGGAAGGCTTTTTTCTTTTGCTCCATGACTCCTTAATTTGTTGTCTAAAGGGCTGATTGATAACAGATGCACCTATCTGCCTTTCTGTTTTTACTGAAGCATGATGTTTTTCTGCAACAGGATTTTTCCTGTGATCTCCCCAGGATATTTCTCCATTTACCGTATATGCTCCTGGTCAGCATTCTCTGTGCAATAAAGAAGTGCTGGAAGTGTATTTTCTCTTCTTTAACCCATTTTCCCCCTTAATCTGCATCAGTCCTTCAGCAATTATAGAGGCTGCAGTTTTCTAGGACCTTCCCTCAAAGAAGAGATTGTTAGATTTGCTTGGTAACAGGAAAGAGAAAGACTTTGGAAATTCCCGAGACTGCAGGAATTTCTGTCCCCTTCCAAACAGCTTGCCCTGGGTAAAGGCATTGCTGCAGGGACACTAAATTGCTGGGGATTGCCTGTGAGTCCTATGAAAGAGGGAATTGATGTAGGGGATCTTAAAGTAGGAGGACTGGAACAGTGTAGTCAGTGTCAAACTTAGTACAGGAAGCAGTGGTTAGGACCATTGTAATGTCCCCAGCAGTGACAAAGGCCCAGGTATACACACTTGCAGGTTCCCAACCATATGTACTGGGGTGACCCAAGGGCATATCTTCATGGAGTGAAGAAAAGTATGAGAACCTAAGAAAATTATGTGGAGGGATCAAAAAGAATCCAGGAAGATAAAAAGGCCTTTTTTCTATGGGCAAAATATGTATTTTGAGGAAATCAGAATTTTTCCCTTGTCTGAAAGCTGAAGAAAAGCAAGCTACCATTAAAAGCCTGTTCCTTTCTTATGCTAAGCCATAGAAGAAAAGAAAAGGCTGTTCCTTTCAAGAGGAAAAAAAGTCAAGTTCAAGCATTGCCACAAAGGAAAAAGCATACCTTTTAAAGTAATATGCAGTAGGACATCCTTAAGCTTCTGTCCCCTTTCATTGATGTATTCGACTCTTTGGAAATCTGTCTCTAATCCCACTGTGTTTCATAAAAAACCTGGCTCTCCCCACTGATGCCTGTCCTGCCTTAATACTCTGCTCTCTTCTTGCTCTTCAGAGTTGGGGTTTTTGTTCCACTTCAAGTGTGAGTTGTTTGGGGGAATTATGTTACTCAGGCAACACAAAAGCTGAGTTTTCACATCAGTTTTGTGGTGGAAATAAGAATAGTGATGACAAAAGTTAACACTTTAATTGCAGTAGAGTATGTGCATTTTCATTACAGATTCAAGAGAGTAAATAAAAAGCAACTCAGCACTAGGGAGGTTGACCAGCGGGATGTACTCTCTCCAGTCTCCTCTCATATGCTTTTCATGATGATATACTAATTAAAAGCAAATAGATTTATGATCAGTAGTCTATCTCTAGGTCACAGAAAAACAAATGGTAAGCCATTCCAAGACCTTTTGTACCAGAGAAATGAAAGATACAAAATATTCCTAAACTTGAACAGGGCCTTTGGCTTCTTAGAACTACATCCAGTTTTAATAGGAAATGCAGCTATTAATGTCCTCTCACATAATACAACAGAATGGCTTAAGCAGGACTCTACCAAAAGCTCTGAGTGAGCCTAGTTTAGTCAGATGTTAAATATGATTAACTGCAGTGGCTTTGGATGGCTTAACATTTTATTTCCAACACCTCGTTTCTTACAGTGCCACAATACATGAGGCAATCTGAAGATAATACGTCTATTGATTTTTTAAAATGACACAAGTGCATTTCATGGAAAACATCAGTATTAAAAAAAAGCAAGAGTGTGCATGATTATGAACAATAGATAAGATAATGCAATAAACACAATACAGAAGTAGCATTGTTAGTACAAGACTAAAGTGGTTAATTTTGCCATGTAATGGCAACTGATAAGAGGGGGACTATACAAAGGTTAACACCATTTTGAAAAAATGCCAACACACAGCTCAGGTGCTACATTGGTTCAAAAAGCAATAGGGATGAGTAACCCCTTATTCTCTGTATTTCATGCTAAATTTCTCAAAGTCACAACTGGCTCTCATGCAAACCTTAAGTCTATCAGTTAAACAACAAACTATATTTCTGTCAAACCTTGCCTCCAACGTGACTTCTTTCAAGGAATGGCAAAACCTGTACATAAATTTGGCAGTCTGAGCATTGGGTTTGTTTAGCTCTTCTGGGGCATGTTGCTCCCTGTACTGATTTAACACAGTATGTGAGACTTCATGCAAGTCTGTAGTACAAGTCTGTGGGGGACACACCTTGGACCAGCTGCTGAGGGTTCCCACATTTTCTGCATAAATGCAGCAGCAGTAGCAGATAGGCATCTCATTGAGATAATGTGAAGGTGCAGGGTCTGCAGACCCTGGTACAGCATAGCCACATGTTTATCTACTTGAACTCAGGGCAGTGAGGAACAAGTGAAATGCTCTGTGCCAGGAGTTGAGATCATATGTTTTGGAAAAAAAAGGGTTATACCACTCCCTTATTTTCTATCAACAACAGCGACGGTACAAGGTGGCCCCTACTATGCAAGAGAGTGCAGGGACAGTGGGACCTACTGCAGCTTATCCACCCAGAGTACCAAAGGATCCAGTTGTTGTGACCTGCTGAGAGGTATGGAGCCATGTTTTATCAAATCTTTTCTGAGACAGGATGTACATCAAGTTTGCTTTGTGTCTTGACTTTTAATAGGAAGTGCTAGTTTTTTTGCTTCAGAGGTAGTTTGTCTTCAGGGTCCTCATGGGTTTCTGACTCCTGAGCTGGGAAACATGTACATCTTCCATTAAACTGTCTCTTACACAAGGTTATTCTAATGGAAGAAGAGGGAAGGGTAACCATAATCCCATTAACTCCAGCAGGATTAAGTAATTATTATGGCTGTCAGCGTGCAGTCCCAGAATTTGCCCCTAATATGGGATGCCCTTATACAATATACCATCATTATCAGGATATCAGCTCCTGACACCTCTTTTTGGTACTTGTCTGTCAAAATGTTTTTATTCCAGTAAACTGAATCTTGGCTAGAAATAGTAGATGGATTAATGTCTTAATGTACCATCTTTCTTAAGTCTCATCTAAAATTTTTTTAATGCTGTATATAACTTAAATTAAGGAATGAGTCTTCTTGCCTGCGTATCCCAGTCTTGCTATTTTTTATATTAGCAGGCCATTTCTTTTATGTATATATATATATAATATATATATATAAGTTACAGTGGAGATTTCAGAATGACTTCAGCTTCAAATCCGCTGGCTAAGAAAAATATCTGAGTTTGCTATTTTAATGCAGAAATTGTCCTACAGTATAAAATAATTGGATTTGGATTAGTTTTAAGATTACAAAGAAGGAACCTCCTACCAGGATCACAGTGCTGCAAAATATTTGCGTTCCTAAGACATCTGGAGTAGAGCTTTGACCAAGTATTGAACCACTTCTGAAGTCTCTCTGACTGCTGCCTTTGAGAAGACTGTCATTCAGTTTTTAACTCTGTGAGGAATTTAGGTGGCTGACTTGCCCACCATGGGGCCACAGGCACTGGTAAGTGCTCAAAGGTTCATTACTTGCCTGCAAGTATTGCTTCTCCAGGTCTGTTTTGCTTGTACACAGCTTTACAACTCCCTTCATTCAGCAGGGCAGTAAGTTCTGAGGACTTAGTGAGACGTGTGAAAGGAAAGGGAAGAGCACACCTTTATGATGGTATGTGAACACGCAGAAGGCATGGTGCTAAACTGCACCTGAAAGTTACATGCACGAAGCCAATGTACAGATAGAAGCCTCAAAGCAGGTAAGCAGCCTTAGCCGTGTTAGTGCAACCTTATGATCAGAAAAGTATAATAATTTTGTGTGTTATGTATTTATGCATTAAATTTATATTTGCATATAGTAATGATGACTTCTGGCAGGGTTTCTCAAGAAAAATATTTTTAAAATAAGGGGTATAATTTAAAAATATATTGCGTATTTTGTAATAAGTACAGTAACTGAAGGATTTTAATATCAGAAGTTATCTATTTATTCTGCTGTTTTACTTGGTTTGAAGTTATATCCTTTCAAATATGACAAAAGGGCATTCAAGAGACCTGGCTACAGTGGAGGCTACCAGCACACCTCAGAGTTGCTCATTCCATGTCACATGGCATGGGAATAACATAACCTGCAGCCCAACCCTCCCAGCTATGCTACAACTTCATTTGGCCCTGCTCAGTAGTTTTTTTGTTATTCCTTTTGCGTCATTTGGCTAATGAAGGCCTCCTAAAACTACTTAAAAATTGCACTATTTTACATTGCAGTGTAATTAGATAAGATTAAATTAAAACAGCTTTATGAGACTATAAATAGAGATAAAGTAGTCATCTTTAATGCTTATATATTGGCTCAGGATGCAACACTACTTCATGCTGTAGATTACGATAAAATTGGTATTAGATAAAATGGTATTAGAGATAAATTTATAGGAATATCATTTTGGTGGGAAAAAAATCCTTTAGAGTGCTATAAATATGTTTACACAGGGGGGTTACCCACTTAGCATTATCGATTTTCAAATCAATATAGCAAGTATAGTACACATGGTTGTGTGCAGTCAAGGGTTTAGCATGGTTAGATCTGTTTATACTGGTTTAGCCATCAGCAGGGCAGCAGATTGATGTTTCCTTCCTGACATAGCTGGAACTGATGAAGATACAGTGTCTCATTGCTTGTCACCATCCAGCAGCAGGTTACTGCACCCACACCCGCTGTGTAGGTGCTCCATGGCTCATCTCCTTGGACACTTCACTGGAGGTTGCTCACCAGTTTCCCTGGCATGGAGGGGCCCATTTGGGATCAGGCTGGCAGAACTGTGGGTGAAACGTTTGCAAACAATCAGTGATAAAGGGCTAGGGAGGAGTAACAACTCTGGATGGAGCAACGCTGTTTGCAAACTTTATTTGTGCTTATTGTCTAAATGTACAGCCATAAACCAAACAGATAAAAATAGCTCTAAGTCAATGTAAGAGAAACCACACACAAAAATTGAACTTGTTTGGTTAATAGTGCGTGAAATAAATCCATATAGCTTCTGTATGCAGGAAAGAGCTCCTGAAGGGGATTTTACATGATTTGCCTCCTAAAAGCTCTGCAGTGGTCAGGGCACAGCACTTAAATTTGCTTTTGATACATCATCAGTTTGAGCTAGGAAATCAAATTCCCCATATTCTGGGGCTTTCTTCCATATTTTGTCTTTATTTCCAATATTATTTCTCATATAGATGTGCAGACCTTCTCTATTACCTCCTTTCTCTGTGAACACATATTATGTGCCCTGCTGCCTGACCAATATGAGCTACAGTCACTGCATATTGCTTCCTCATCAGTAATTTACCAAATTTGCTCCTCTATTTTCAGTTTATCCAGAATTGGTATGACCACCAGACTGCTTTCAGACCTTAAATTCCTCTTAAATATATTTTTGACACTAGGTGGATTTTCCTACCATTTCAGGGAGCTGACATACTTTCAATGCAATTTGAATTGTTGACAGTCATAAATAAATTCATCAGTAATGCCACTGAGTTCAGCATGTCTTTGTCTTCCTTCCACCAAAGTCATATCAGGGTGAATTTGTGTTCAGCTTTTTTTTTTTTCCCTTTTTTCCCCCCTCACTTTTTATGTGTTTTTGAAGGGATAAGGATGACATGTGGTATCAATACTAAAGTGATATCAAGGAAAAGAAATTACACACAAAATAAAGCACGCAATTTTATCAGACTTTAGAACAGGTATCATGTTACCTTCACTATGCCAAAACCAGTTCTTTTGGTATCTGAATTTCGATAAGATACAATCTAGGATATTGGAAACGTGAAAAAAGAATGCACTTAATAAAAGGGGAATATACAGTCATACATACATTGCATATGATTCTCATTTGTGGATGTTTATGTAGAAGATCTTTCATATGCAGGAAGTCCTAAAGGCAGTTAAAATATTGCATTCAGTAGGGTTGTATAGAATGGACCTATTAATATTTTTTTCTTTTTTTTTTTTTTATTTTAATTTACAAATAATCCTCCCTAGGTTCTGACAAGGAACTACAATTATATTTGTTTGGGAAATGATGCCTAACTGCTGAAACAGAGACAGTTAAAAAAGACACGTCCTAGCTCCTGAAATGTGATCCCAGTCTCTACTAATTTCTGTATGAATCTAAATAAATCAAAACCACTGTAGTTTTTCTGCTCTGATACCACTAAATGACTTTGGAGATTTCCCTTGAATGTTGTAAATGGTATGGAAACACCCCAGACCAATATTTTGCGTATTGCCCTGACCTTCCATCCTTAAACTTTATTTATAAACTACTGGGAAGTGTATCTATTACATTGTCAAAGGATATTTCTCTGTGATTGTAAGCCTCAGGAAACAGGGCTTAGGTGATATACTGTTTGCCTACCCATCTTGTCAGACTCAATCTAATAACTTTTCAATCCATCATTTCAGTTACATTTGGCTCAGAAATAGAAAACTTCAGGCTATGAAATTCCTCCAAGTTTTAAGAAACATAACAGCTCATTGAAGGAAGACTACTTCCTTGAAATTATTACTGTGAGTGAAGGGCTGCTGCCTGAGCTCAAAGGTTGTTTATTATGTTGAGTTTGCTGGCAGCCAGCACATGCCCAGCTGAAAAGCAGCCACATCCCCTTGGTTCTCATCCAGCTGGTAGCTGGGAGGCAGGAGGAGGGAGCTGTGGACACTGGGGGAAGGGAAGATTAATGATGGGCAGGGAACCTGAGGTGTGGACACCAGGACAGAATGAAGAATGGGACACGGATCCAAAGAAGTTAGGGCTTCATTTCAGACACTTCTTAAGAGAACAACTTGATCTCTACCTGGGAATGATTAGAATCAAAAGCAACTCATCAAAATTAAGCAGACTGAAGTGAGCTTGGCATTTAGAATAGATTCTTAGCATAATCAGCACAATGTCCACCATTTCAACAAATTATCTTAGTTTGTCTTCTTTTCCTTAAGCATCCAGTTCACCACACAGTGTTCAGGAATTCACCACTGAGAACAAATTGGTAATCTGATGCCAGTCTACTGCTATTGTTTCTGTTACCACTGATAGCACAATTATTTCTATTTCAAGCATGCTTGCTTCTGTAACAAGCATGCTAAAGTTACAGCTCCTGGCTTTTGTCTTATGCCAAAGAATCCATTGCAAGTGATGGACTCGATAGGTTATATGAAAAAAGTTTTGTTTGCACTGGCAACTATCATTTTGTAATAATGAAGTAAAAATAATAATAAAGTAATAATTAATACTCATAGTGCCCACAGTTACCAATTAGATTTGAGGCAGTCCGATTAATGATGTCTAAATATGACTGTTCCTACTTCATAGACACAAGAACTGAAACACATATGATGTCTTTCTTCCAATGCTAAAACTGTAGTTTGGAACAGATTTTGGGATAAACATGTCTCTATTAACTTACTACTGAAGATCCATTTAAAGAGCATATTAAATTCACTTCCTAAAATTTAGGTCTTCTTATTCTGAGATGACAAGCAAACAAACAAACAAACAACCCAACCTTTCTGCGTTTTTTGTTTCCAGACAGTCCTGAAAAGCTCATGCACGCATAAAATTCAAATTTATACAGTTCCTCAGAAATCACAGGATAGGTGGAGGAGCCTGTTTTACCAAAAGTTTACCCAAAGGTACGAAAACTTCATTCAGAGGAAGATTTTGGTTTGGCTGTCATGATATCAGACTGTAGCTGTGCAGAATCAAACAGAACTGTCTGAGATTAAGGAAGATGAGAAATGAAAGCTCAAGTTCATGTGACATCACGCTAAAGAGAGAGCAAACTCTAAATTGGCATTATAGGCTGTTGTTAAGGACTCTGCTGGAGAGTAGAGTGGGTCCAAGGTGGGAGAGGAATTTTGGGTTCAGTGACCTCAGTTTGTTTGCTGTTTCTGAGAGCTGGACACGCAGAAGGTGCAGAACTTCCATACTTGCACTGCCTGCTATTGGGCATATGGTATAGCTCTTGCAGAAGCCACATATGAGCTTCATGTCATTTAAGAGCTATAGGTTACCTATGCCTGCATTAGAGGTTGGAAGAAGCAGCATATTTTGTTCAGCTGGTTCACACAACAGGAGCTGTTATCAGTTTGTTAATCCTTTTGAGATCCATACTGACTTCTTGCTGACACCAGCAGATGGGAAAACCAAAATAAACCGTGACTTCTTCTACCCAATCCCTAACCATAGGGATTTGGTAGTTTCCACGTGCAGCACAGAAGAAGGGAGCCATGGCAAAGCAATTAGTCTATTAAGATGCATCCCACTTCCTTCTCATTCAGCTTTCCTCTGGATGGTGGTTGATGCTGGTCAGCCACTTAACACCCACCAAGTTGCTCACTTACTTACCCTGAGGTGGGGTGGGAGAGAAAACCAAAAGGGCAAAAGCAAGAAGGTGGCATGGGTCAAGATAAAGACAGTTCCATAAGTCAATAAAAGAAAAAAGGAGGAAGAAAAATAAGCAAGCAGTGGAATGGCACTCACTCACTCACCACCTCCCACCACAGACTGAAGCCCAGCCAGTCTGCAAGGAATGGCAACTTTGCAAAAACTCCCCCCGCCCCCCAGTTTCATAACTGGGAATGATGTTACATAGCGTGCAAGATCTCTTTGGTCAGCTCATGTCAGCCTACGTGCTGCGGGGGCAGAGTGAGAAACAGAAAAGGCCTTGATGCTGTGCGAGCACTGCTCAGCAATAGCTAAACATGAGTGTGTTATCAACATTGCTTTGGTCACAAAACTAAACCACACCACAATACAGGCTGCTGTGAGGAAAATTAACCCCATTCCAACCAGACACAACATACCATCAGAGGCTGCCGGGAATCAAGGACACTTTATCCTGGACACTTTATCCTTCAAAGAAACATTAACGTGGCAATTGAACACACTTCATCTTAGGTGCATTGATTTAACAATTTTGATTGCCCCTATAGACACTCAGTGTCTATGTGTAAAATTGGAGTGAGGATAAGACAGAAGGTAGCGATATGAAGTTAATCAGCAGCAAGGGCATTCACATTCTGTAGTAAGAGCAGCTAGTGATTGTCTGTGGAAGCATCATCCCCATACTTCCCTTGCATCTACTCTTGTTTCTGCATCTTCTGTGAAGCTAAAGTCTCAGTCACCTTCTCCTTGATACTTTACCCATCCAGAAGCACTGGAGGGATTTGACAATAAAATTTTTGACGTCTGTTGGCAAGGCTTTAAAAAGGATTTTTTCTTTAAAACTCAGTGCCCAAGTCTTTTCTATATATGGAAATATCAATAGGAATTTGACTCAGGATAATCTCTTTTCTTCTGAGTTGTACTGGCAATATTGTAACGTGAAGTACAAAAAGATTTTGGTGAGTTGTTTTTTTTAGGCTGATTGAAATTTGGCTGAGAGCAAATTTTTTACTGTTTGTTGGACATTGCTAGTAAAGCTAAGAGATAGTTTTAGTAGTACTTTAATCCAAAAGTTTTCCTAAGGATGGGGAAGTATTCTGCCTTGCATTGCAGGTAGAAAACCTGGTGCCCTAAAAAACAGAACCATGCAGGACAATGGAACTCCTGGTTCCTGATCTCATTAGACATCTAGCTTTCTTTTAAAATTCAGAGTTGCTCAACTTCTTCAGCATAGTGAGCCAGCAGCCAATGCTCTCATTTCCTACTTGACGGTAAATACAGTTCTGGAATCTAGATAATTTAGGATTTTGCCACTGAGGCACAGATGGAGTTAGAAAATAATAAAATTAGGGTGGAAATAAGAAAACCAGAACTTCAGTAACATATTGAGCCTCTCAGCATAGGAGTTCTTAGGTTTTTCTAAATCTAATTCCACAACAGTTTTACAAAATCATTCACAGGCAGGAGAGATTCAGCTCTTTGATCACTTGTTTCTTTTGGTAGCACAGCTCCTCAGATTCTAACAAACTATATTCTAGTGAATTCCTGAGCTGGAAGTTTCCTCTGGGCTATTGTATACAATAGCTGCAAATGACATAGTATTAATTAAATATGCCTTTTTTCTCAAATTTATTTTGTACTGTTTATCACCCCCCCAATCATTTATCTTCCCAGCTAACAAATGTATTTAGCCTGTCCTCATAGGATCATAGTAATGGCTGTAGTAGATGAGACCACAGGCCCATGTAGCATATGATAAAAAAATATCCAAAAAGGGGAAGGAGGTAGCAATAATCCCTTCTGTATGCCTTCCCATCTTCCAGTAATCTCAGTCCTGCAGGCTTGCTAAGACATTGGTAGTATTTTATATTTAAAAGCTGCTAATGTATTTGTATCCCCTCATTTTGCCATTTCAATTTTCTGAGTTTTGGTCATCCAATCCTGAACATTACTGTAGTCCTTCCATATGGGCTTTGAGATGGGGTAACTAGAACGGAAAGCAACACACGTAGTGCACCACAGTTATATACAGAGTAATACAAATGTGCTTTACATTATGTTTTGTTATCTTTTTCTTTAAAAAGTTTACCTTTCTTGTGCTATTAATAACTTCTGAGCACTGAACCTTTGTTCAGAGAACTACTCACAGTGACTTTAAGGCTTTTGCTGGCTGATACTAGCTTTTAGAGTTCATCATCATGTCTGTATGTTTTAACCCCCATGTGCATTACGCTGCATTTTAGAACGCTGCTTTTCAACTACTCACACAGTGTTGTGGAAGCCTCTTGCAGTATTTTTCAATCAGCTTTAGATCCGAATTATTAGATACGTTCCTCAAATGTTGTCACATCGTCATTCATGCCTTTTCACTTATGAACTGCGAACAGTTCTGTGTTAGATATGAATCCTTGTGGAATAATCCTTCTGTCATGAGAACTCATGGTTTATTTTCATCTTTTGTATTTTTTCTTTTAACTGGTCAGTCCATGAACTGAGGGTCCTTCTTATATCACACAGAATAGAAGAGATGTGGGAAAATAAGGATGGAAAGAAAAACAAGAAATCTAATTTCTCATTATATTAATGCTACCTTATCTACAAAATTTCTGACAGAGGTTGATCTAATATTTTCTTAAAAATATCTCATGATTTTAATTTTAATCTAACGATTGCATAGTATCTTCAGACAATTAATTACATAATTGTCTTTATCACTCAAAGGTTTTCCTATATATACATCTCACTTGGTACAACTGATGTTTATTTCTTGTCCTATGTCTCCTACCCAAAGAAGATTCATTACCATCCTTTTGAACATTTAATGTTGAAAACACTTGTAACCACAATCTGTTTGGCTAGGAGCAACACTAAAGAATAACAGCTCTGTATGTATAAATTACGTATGTTCTATAGACCTGTCATAGAATGCTGTTCTGTAGCTGTAGCATGTATTTAGGATTCAGCCAGTACAGTGGTATAAAACATATTATATCCAAGGAAAAAATTGAAAACATAAGAGTAAAACTTGATGCAGTTCAGGTTATCTGTTTAGCAGAGTTCTACTTCTTCTGTGGGACTGAATCTAACTGCAGAAAGCTATCAGACAGAGCAGTTTTGCTGTATTCTCTTTTATATCCTTCAAAGATAATTAAAGCAACTTCTTTCCTTTTTTTATGACATGCTACTCTCCTTTCCAGTGGCTTCTACAGTAAAGTTTAGTATTATTTAACCTCTGAAAACTTTAACGACAGGCAAGGAGATACCACAGATGGAATACTGAAATCATGTATACCAACAAAGACAAGGCAACTCAGTTACACTGACTGTGCAGCTCCAAAAGATGAAATTTTAGACTGCTATATTCAGAATAAGAGTTTATGCTTTCTCCATAATTATGGGCAACTTCAACATTTTTGGAATTCAAGGCTTTCTCTAAATCTCTGCTTTGGAGGTATTGGCTTGCTGTCTAAACCAGCTGTCATGCTGATTCTCAAATGTGAACACAAAGGCATTAGTTAATCGTATCCTCTGGTTTGTTTTTTTTTTTTTTCTGTCAAACTGAAGCCAATCTATAATATTGCATGCTGCTCCTCAAATGAAATAAGCTCGTGCATCTTGCACTACAATTCACAGGGAGTAAGTGGATATCCTAAGAAAGATATACCTGTGATTACACTAGTTGATCAGCAATAAGGTTGAGGTATAGTGGCATAATGATGAACTATGGCACGCTGAGCAACACAGAATTATTTCACTTTTACTTTGCTGTCTCCCACTGTTTTTTGATTGCTGAATGCTGAGTTACCTTGTTTTTGTCAGGTAACTGTTCACTCTTGCCAGTCTGTAAAGAGAAGATAGAGAATAGCTTTTGTGAGGGTTTTCTTTTTCTCAGGAAAAAAATACAGTGTAAAGTAGTACAGACTTTTCTGTGACCAAGTTCTTGGATTACACTCAAGAAAAACAGCACAAGGTTTCTGGTTTAGTACTATTTGGATTATTGCACGATAAAAATGAATTAAAAAAATCCCCAACAAAACAGAGTCAGTGAAATAATTATACCATGAGTGCAGCATTCAGCATTCCCTCCATTCTGAGCATGCTCCTTAGATTTACTGTAAAATCTTGAGAGAACCCCCCAGTTATGTACTGTGTTTTTAAACCTATATAATAAGGTTAACACTTTTACTACAGGAGTTTAGAAGTTAATTGACATAAAAGATTTCGAAATTCAGAGTTTTACTGGGAATGATAACATATGAACTTACAGCCAGTCGAAGACTTTCTAATCTATTTCTATTAGAAATCCTCTGGCATATTGTCCCACTTTCACTGGGCTCTTCTCACTCTCACACTAATATGTTTAAAAATCCCAAGTATATTTCTATATTTTTTGGAATAGAACTGTTTTTCTCTGCTTCTGTAGAGATGAAAGTATAGTTCATGTGAGACCTCTATTCATTCTAAATTTTCTCTGCTTGTATCCTTCAGACTCCTGACATGCATCCTTTCACTCTTAAATGAAGCAACGTTGGTTTTAAATGTGACTGACATAAGTGAACACTGAGTGTGTATGTTTATTCATATTCCACTCAAGATCTACTGGAAAAATGTTGCCTTGATCCCTAAGAATCAAAAAATTCCCACTAGATTAAAAAGTAAAAGCTTACAAAGAGAATGAGTTAAGAAAAGGTGCAACTACTTCTAGATGTGGCCTAGAAGAGTTAAAAAAACCCACCCACCACCTATTTTTTGGTCTCACTAATACATGAAGAGAGAACTGTAAGAGATTGCTCATGAAGCAAGTTGAAAAGAAAATAGGAATGTATTTTAAGTGCAAGGCAATCTACAAAGAAGAAAAATGGTCTGTATGTATCACTTTCTTGACATTGAAGTATTACAGACCAAATTCTTCCTTTTTACATTAGAAGTTCATGTCTTATTTGTCTTGGAGATATCTTTAGAGAACTGGTGAGAATATTCAATTCCTCAGCTTTCAGTCTTGTTTAAAACACCTTTCACCTCCAACAATCCAGGCACTATTTAACCACAGTGACTTGAGATTTGGAGGAAATGGTGATTCTAATGAGTGACAACCAGGCATCTTCAGTTAGGCTGGCAGGCTGAAAAAAATCCTGCTTGCACTCTGCAAGCCTGTAATTTTCTGTTTTCTTTGCTGGTGCTACTTAGACTTTCTGTATCAGCACAATTAAACAAATGAGAGGGTATTGCATATTAAAAATGCTACAGTCATTTATCTTCTGACCAGAAGTAATAAAATTAATTAAACACCTTTTTTAGAAAGGGAATGCTATTAAATACATATTAGCAGTATCACAACATTCTACTAACTTAGAAGAGCAATGGAAATGTCACAGTACTGTTCTGTTTCTTTCTCTCAGATGATTTACTGTCATTGCTCCATAAATGGCTGCTTGCTGCTGCTGCTTCTCCTTCAGAGCAGCAGCAAGGGCCAAAACATTTACTGGCAAAGCACAGTCACTTTATGGAAGAAAGGATAAAATGGTTGCTTGCAACACTAGAGTACAGTATAGGGTATAGGGGAAATTAAGCTGCCTTGGCTTACAAATGCCAGCCTAGCTGGGCTTCTAAAACGGGGGGTGCTGTTAGCTCTCTCTTACTAGTGCTATGGACTTACAAGGAATTATAATAAAGACAGTCTTGTCGGTACATGGTGGAATTGAAAGAGTAAAAACAAAAGCCTTAGTGGTGAAAATGGGCAATAATGGTTATTGTTTTGGTCAAAGAGGGCAATGCAAACTACTTGAAGAGTTTATTATTACCAACAGCAAGGCAGTCCTTATTCCTGTTGATGTCAAAACTGGCTGAATATATCTGGGTAGAGTAACCTATAAATTTGCTTTTTTCAGTCTGTGTCGCTTTCTTCTAAGTGTTGGCTTTGAATTCTAGGTGACCAAAGTTGTGAATACTTTGCAAAATTTTAAATGGTGAGTTTTAATTTTAGCAAATGTCTTTAAGGTTGACACTGAAAGATCAGTGCTGTTCTTCCTCCTGTTTAGGAAAATTGCCAGTTCATGATCGGGCCTTGTTCAGAAATATCCACATCTGCAACTGCTGAGAAAAGCACTTGCAGTTCTCTGCAAAATACTATTTTGGTAAAGGAGTGATGAAATTTTCTGAGAATTTGGGTTGCTGGTTACCTGGCACTAGGGAAATTATGAATCATCTATTGCCTTCTGGAAGAAATAATCACCTCAAAATGGTTACACTCTTGCCTTTCCCTGAGAAGCAAACTTCTAGTTACGACCTCATGACTTAGCTATGCACCAGTAATCATATATAGCATGATCGTGCAGTTGACATCTCCCTCGGCTTTGTCAGCAATGACAGCTTCTCATCAGCTCAGCTCCTCCACCCCTCCCATCTGGCATGTGGAAAAACTTTCTACTGAGGTAACTAACGCTGGCTGGGCAGGTGATGAACCAAGACCATTCCTGTATATGGACAGCTTCCATTTGTACTTTCCCCTCCTCTGATTTAATTCTGCTCCATTCGCTTGCTGCTGACTGTTGTACTCTAATGTTGAATTCACAAGGTGGGGAGTGTCACTTGCTTCTAGGCCAGGATGTAACCTTCAGGTTGTGTAAGGTCACCTCAGGGGTGACCTTATCACTCTCAACAACTATCTGGAAGCAGGTTGTACCTAGCAGAGCGTTGACTACTTCTCCCAGGTAACGAGTGATAGGACAAGACTGCACAGTCTTAAGCTGTGCCAGGGTAGGTTTATGTTGGACATCAGGAAGAATTTGTTCACAGAAAGCGTGATTAGACATTGGAATAGGCTGCCCAGGGAGATAGTGGAGTCACCATCCCTGGATGTGTTTAAGGAACGACTGTATGTGGCACTTAGTGCCATCATCTAGTTCACGCGGTGATGTTCAGTCACAGGTTGGACTCGATAGCCTCAGAGGTCTTTTCCAACCTAATCGATTCTGTGGGGTTTTTGTGATTCTTCGTATTTGTTTAGCTCTGCGTGGCACTCCCATAATGCAAATATGCCTGCACAGAGTGATGCTTTTCACAAAAATACCCCTGAAAGGCCGAGACATAATGTTAAGAGGCTTGAATGTTTCTGCGATCTCAAAATACTTCGCATGAAATCTGAACCTCACAGCAACGCCGTGTTTTGTCTAAAAATCTGCTTGGGGCTGAAGGGGCACAGCCTTGCTGTGGCATCGGATCATAAAGACACAGCGACACGCCTGGGCTGTATCTGAGCGCAAACACTGTATCCCCCCCTATATTCCTATGAACGGCCGGTTTATTTAGCAGCACCCGGCTCTACTACGCCCCTGAGAATTCCGTCTCCAACATGGACCCGCCGCTCCACAGCCCCCGGGGCCGGGATCGGCCCCGCCCCACCCGCGGCACGGCGGGGCGGTCCGACCAATCAGAGGGCAACAGCCTGCAGGGGGACGGGGCC